GCTGTGGCTCGTCGGTGTCGACGACCTTGAGTCGACCTATCGCCTCCTCGATCGTCATCGTGGAGAGGTCCAGCAACGACTCGATCGAGCGAGCCATCTGCTTGTACTTCTCGGGAATGCACCGAAAAAGCTTCTCGACAGCTCTCTCCTCGGTGTAGGTGGCATCGCCAAACTTCACCATCTTCTGCAGCAGAGTGTTGAGACGGAGAGCAAAGTCATCAACATCCTCACCTGGCTTGAAGCCCAGGTTCTCCCACTCCTTACGAAGTGCCTGCAGGGTGGACTTGCGAGCACGGTCGCTGCCGATGCGTGCTGCGGCGATGGCGTCCCAAGCCTCCTTGGCAGTCCGCTTGTTGGAAAGCGAGAACTGCATCTCGGGCGGGACTGCGGCGATGAGGGCGTCCAGTGCCCATCGATCCTCTAGGTGGTCGACGTTGCTGTCCTGGACTGCCTCCCACATGCGCCGCACCTGGAGCCTGACCTTCATGATCCCGGCCCACTCGACGTAGTTGGTTTTAGTGAGGGTAGGCCACCCAACACTGGCACCAACATCCCTGACCACAGTCCGGACCTCGTAGAGGCCGCGGTCCTGGTCGTTGCAGCCGCCGTCGCGGTGCGCGCCTCCACCTGGAGCGCGGGCGTGCTCGGCTGCCCACTGCGCCGTCCGCTCCTGCGCCACTTTGGCGTGATCTGCGTCGGCGCCGTCGTCCGCAGGCGCGGAGCTGCTGGAGCTGCCGGGGCTGCCGCGGAGTGCCTTGGCATCCGCCGTAGCCTCACGGGCTGCTTCTGCTGCTGCTGCTGCTTCTACCTCCGCCCTGGCTGCTTCTACCTCCGCTCTGGCTGCTGCCAGCTCCGCTGCAGCCAGCCTCGACACTCTTGCCGCCGCAGCAGCCGCTGCTACAGCCGCTCGCTCACGCTCCTCTGCCACGGCGCGCTCGGCCTCTTGCCGGCGCCGCATGCTCGAGGTAGCCGTGTGCTGAGAGCGACCTGCAGACATGGCTCGCTGCAGGGGGGCTGTTGCGTGAAGAGGAGGCTGAGGAAGACGAGCTGCTGCTCGACAGTCCGGAGGGAGGAAGGTAACCAGAGGCAGACGGAGCAGCTGCTGCTACCGACTTGGGCTGCTCACAGGAAATGCTCAGGGTGCAGGTTAACCTGGCTCTGATACCACTTGTTAGACCTTTCAGCCTGAGCATTGATAGATGTGGATGACACTAGGAGAGTTGGGATAATTTTCGTTGGTTTATTTCTCACACAATGCCATGCCAACCTGAGGGGTTGGGGATACATATTTATAGGCTGCTAGCCAGCCAAGGCATATGCTAAGATGCTGCTAAGATGCCAGTCTAAGATGCTAGTCTAAGATGCTAGTCTAAGATGCTAACTGACAGTCCTTGATGGTCAAGAACAGAACTCTATCCTAACAGCCAGTCCTTGATGGTCCAGGACTTTATCCTCCTAACTGCCACAAGGACCATGTGCTGCAGCCCCACAAGGACCCTAGTACACAGACTTATCCATCACTGTGCAGCAGCGTCGTGGCGGCCGGAAGACCCAGTGGTCTGGATCTGGATCCAGGGCGCCCAGCGAGCCGGTCTGGCGCGGCGACGAGCCTGCAGGTGGTGGGCGGCGCGGTGTGGGTGGACGTGCTGGTGTGCAGCCATGCCGGTCTGGGGTGCTCCATGGCGCCTAGATCGGCTTTCCAGCTACTTGCTTGGCCTGCCAGCGGTTCCGTGGCCACGACCGGTGGGTCGGCGGTGGATGCTGCCGATGGGGACTGACTTCGGTGCTGGTGGGTTGTGGTCGGCGGCAAGGGCCTGTATGCAGGTGGTAGTTGACTCCAACTTGACTCCGGTTGTGCAGGTGCTCGAGGTGAGCTTTTGTGTCATCGGAGCCTCGTGCTAGTCTTGGTGGGGACGCTCGCCATGGACTGGTATGAGGGCAAGGAGGTCTCAGGCTGCTGGGCTCAGCTGCCAGCTTCGACGGAGATGACTGGGACGGGATGCTTCAGGCGAAAGTCTTGTGTCGACCTTGTTGGCCACGATGACGGCGGCGTCTTCGGACACCGCTTCCCTTCATGAAGGCGTCATCGGGAAGCTATTGTTGCCTGCTCAATCGTGTACCCCGGGCAAAAGCCTCAGATCCATCTATGGATCAGACAACGACAGCGTCTCGATGTCGTTTCTCCCCCTTGGGGGCGTTGTTTTTGGGAGCCATGGATCCGCGGTTGGTAGCTTGATGTCTGGGTAGTGTCTGTTGGGCTGTTGGTGTGTAGGGTGATGGCAGTGGAAGTGATCTGTGGCTGCGACCAATCCCTTGGTCATCTTGGTGCTGATGGTTGACCTATCTCTTGGGGCTCGCGGCGGTGATGAGGTCTCGGTGTCCGGTGCCCTTCGACAGCGTTTGAGGTTTTGTTGCCTTGCACAGTGCTCTGCTTCTCTGTATTTGTGATGGTGGCCGTGGTGTGGCCTAGAGGAGGTGCAGGGCCTGTCTCGGTGGAACATTGCCCTTCGGCACGGTCTGTAGCTCTCTCTGCCGCGACGTGGCTAGGCAATGGGATGCCCTTCGACGATGGATGTGACTTCCTAGCTCTTCAAGGTGCGGAGTGATCGCAGGGCAACTGGCGACTTCTTCTCTACGTCTTCTCGGTGACGGATCTCCCTTCGACTGATTCAACAAAGCTTGCTTCCGCTCTTCTCGGTTCAGCTAGTGGTCTTGGGTGCTAAGCTCTTGTTGTTAGTTGCTTGTCATAGCTCTTTTCTGGTTCTCCTTCTGTTGTTCATTATGCCTCTGTGTGTGTGTCTTCGATGCTTCTGTTGTACCCGATGTCTTGTATCTTACTCTTGTCTATAATGAAAATGGTTCAGGCCGGCGTAAGCCCGCCATAGCACCGTCAAAAAAAAAAATTGGCAGACCTAGTTATTTGGGGGCCCTGGGCAGATGCATAGGTTGCACACCCTCTAATACAGATCTGTATTAGACTCAGCTATAGTCACCCAAAACAACTGAAATAACAACCCCAGAATAAGTTCAGCCTAGCATTTTCTTGCTGGGAAATTAAGAACCGAAAATGTCAACAGCAAGCAAGGTTGACAAGACCTGAAAAGAAAGAAAACAACAGACATGGGGTTCAAGTAATCCCAAAAGCTCTTATACACTCCACCAAGCCAATTAGAAGGCATTTTATCTTTTAGCGGCCAGATTAGAGTTTATTAGCTCAAACTCATCAAGATAAATCTGAATCCATGGCTGAAGGCAAGCTTGTGGAGTGATTGATAAAGAAACTGATAAGTTGCAAAGCACCAATTTTCCAGCTAACGCACTAGCTGACAGCAGAAGATACAGTTTACCCTATCTACATGAGTTGCTATTTAAACGAGTTAAGTTGAAAGAACCTTGAACTCATATGGCTCATCGGAATCGAACCCTGACCTTCTAATCGCTGAAATCGGCACCCTATACTTACCGATCTATCAATCCTGACCTTGTAGTAGTTGTAGTTTGCATTAGTTTGGTGCACCAGGAAAAAAGACAACTCCCACTGAGATTACCCTCCCTCCCTCCCACTCCCACTGCGGGAACGGTTATGGCCAGTGGCATGCGGCGCAGGCCGGTATCTTTAGCTCCCTGATGGAGCACGCAACAGTGCAATGGCAGGCAGAACACATCTTCATGATCCCTACCACATGAACCAGCCAACCAGGAGAGCACATCGTTGTGTGTCGCGACCGTGTCGCACTCATACTTGCCGTTGCCGGCCGTGAGCTGGAGCTTGCGCGTCTCGATGACAGCGGCATGGTACTGGTCGACGTGTGCCATGCTTCGGGTCAGCGCGGTCTCCATGCCGAGGGCCAGCCACATGCACCACTACAGGCTCAGACATGTGCAGCATCAACCCCGCCCACTTTGGCAAGGAACGTGAAAAATGAACGAACGATGCCACATTAACATCACAAAACTACATAAGAGATTGGTTTGATTCCAGCCACAAATCCGTATAAAGAGAAAATTCGAACGTGAGGCAGCAAGCCTGCAGCACGAGAATCGAACGGGAAATGTCCTCGCCGGGGTCGAGGCACTTGCCGCCGAAGCCGCAGGCCATCAGGACTCAGGAACGCCGCCGTCGTCAACCCGGCGACATTGACCCTCCTCAGAGGCGTGGTGTCATTTTCGCCGCCTCCGGTGCCCAGCCCACCACGCCGGACACAAAGGACGGTTCTGCGTGTGCCTTCTCGTTATCACTTCCCGGGCGCACCTTATTCGGAACCTAAGGCATCCACGGCAAGCAGGTCGTCCGGCGCATCAGAATGATCCTCTGCCTCTTCCAGAGCATCACGCCAGATCAGATTCACTCCAACCTTGCTCGTCCGCTCTGCCCCGGGCTATCAATCCTGTCAATCTCTGATTTGGTACGGGCTACAGCCGATGTTGCTCAATCTCGAGCACAAAATAGGGATGTGCGCCGTGGTCGGACTGCTCAGTGTGCCAAAATATTTAGGGTGAGGATTGAATTGGGATCTGTAATTATAGGGTGTCCATTTCAAGGATTAGAAAGTCAGGGTTCGATTCCGACGAGCAGTATGAGTTTAAGTTTTTTTTTCAGACTTTATTACTCTACAATAACCAGTTTAGTTTCACAAATTTAGCATCACAAAATCCAAAATGGTAATTAACTTCAGAATACCCTGAACCCAATTTGATCTCAGGGGCTCCAGATCGCCATCTATCATGATAACACATCCACACAACAAAAAATATCATGACAATGCAAAATACTTTCCATCTCCCACCAAACAGTCTTCTAATCTAACCAATCCTAAGGTCCGAACTATAGAGCAAAGATCAAAGAAAGAGTGGTACACATACACACAAGGTCACAACATGGTCTATGCAATTGCAACCTAGCATACACATTTGCGCAACACAAGATGCATTCAAAGATTTATGGTTCCTAACTAAGCCAGAAAATCAGCAAGCGTTCACATTGCTTACTAAGCTCTCACCTGCGACGAACCGGGGGCGCTGCAGTGACGCGCCGAAGACATAGGGACTGTAGTTCTCCCTGTCGTAGTAGTACCTCATGACCACCCGCTTTAGGAACCTGTAGTAGAGCGGTGAGACCTCGAGGTCATCCTCAACGACGAAGGCGAACTCGTCGTCCGAGCCAGGCCACCACGCCTCGATCCACTGCGCCTGGAGCCCCGCATTAGCCACCCGGTAGTGGATGCGCTTCTCCCCGTGCGGCCAGGGGAAGGCGTCGACGGCGGTGAGGATCTCGTGGGACGCTGCAAGGAGTGGGGCGGACGAGTTGGGCGGGAGGTGGTCGAGGAGGACGTGCAGTGCGACGCGGTCGCCATCGTAGTCGGCAGACGCGAGGGAACGGAGGCAGCGAAGCAGAGGGGCGGGGCGATCGTAGGCCAGGAGTTTGATGAGGAGGGAGAACCGGTGGGGATCCGGAGCCGGACGCGCGGGTATGAGCGGAGGTGCGGCGTAGGAGGAGCGGCGGAGGAGGAGGAGGAGGATACATAGTGAGACGGGGAAGAGGACGAGGAGGCGGAGCGGGAAGGAGCGGTGGCGAGGCGACGCCATTGGTCTGGTGGCGGCGGCGGTTGTGGACTGAGGAGCACTGGAGATCGACGGAGTCTTCCTCTCTCCTTTTTTTATTCTCGATAATATCATCCGGCGAATGTCAGCTGGAGGAGGATGGCAAGCGAACGCTCTTTACTTACAGTTTTTAGAAGAAAAATGCTCTTCTCTCAACGATGGCATTTTTTAGAAGAAAAATATACTCTGAAGAAATGGTCGTGCGCTGGAAAAACTTCCATGCGCTTCTCAAAAAGCTGCGAACCCATACAAAACTTCTCATCTAAAGCGTTTGTAATGCCATCACTCTCGGCGAACGTTCGCCGTCTAAGAAGGTCTTTATTTTCTATTACTATTTGCACCTGTCTTTTTTTCCCTTTTACTAGGTAATAGTTGCCCTGCGTTGTAACATGGGCATAAAAAAAAGTTCATGTTCTTACAAAAGACTAAAAATTACAATACATAATCATCGTCCAAATGGTTCAAAGACAAAGCACACATTTCCACCCAAAAATAGACATTGTACAAAGGGAAATGTTTGTAGTCAGCCGGTTGATCTTTCTAGGCGCGTCCACCGTCTTCATAGTCGTCGGATCTCGTCTGATCAGCTGCCTCAGAAACAACAGGTAACCCATATTTCAGGTTTGCAACTTGGCCCCGGTTGCAATTCCTTTGGCCGCAACAAGGGGATTGTTGCAGACTAGACACAAGGCCGCCCGCCCCAGACTCGTTCCCCATGATCAACGGCGACGCCCCGCTACTGGATTGGCCCACCTACGTCGTCCTCATGCCACCCAAGAGCGCATCTGCACTCCTCATCGCCGGACGCGATCGATGGCTGGCGCATTATCGCCGGATCTAGCCAAGCACTGCCATCTGGGAACGCTCCATCGCCGGATATGGCTAGGTACTACCACCGATGACATGCCATCGCTGGGGCGGCTCACCCAGGGGCGCCCATGCTACCATGGCAGCCTCCACGGCCGGCTCCGGTCGCCATTGCCCTGCACCCATGTTGCAACAAAAATTGCAACAAGACCCATGTTGGAAAAAATTGTAACAAGACCTATGTTGCAAAAATAAAATCTGCAACTTGACCTATATTGTAAAAATTTCTACAACATGACACTTGTTGTAGAAATTTCCTGGAGCACAAGTTGTGTTGCAATGGTAGAAGATAGCACTCACCCACTCATCTGCTAGATCCGGTGGCTCGCCAGGCGGCGGATCTTTTAAAAAGATCCGTTGGTCGACGCGTAGCATCGCCCTTGTACAAATTACAATAAAACAAAAAATGGTGCATACGAATAATTGACCCTACAAATAGTGAAGCCCTAAACTCTGCCAACACACCTAGAAAATCCCTCTCAATTTCTCCTTCATGAATATTTTTTTGTGTGAATCTTTCAAAATAAGAGGTAACTTTATGCATGAGTAATTTGCATGCAATGTGATATCCATCGGGTTCCAAGATGTCACATAAACATGTCACTCTTGTAGATATTATCCCCTTGGTAATAAAAGGCAACGCTTCTATCGATTGCTGAAAAAAGTACCAACGGTAGCATATACAACAAGTATGCATCGCTCTCGCCCGGTCTCTTCTTGTCCGCTGATATTCTTCTCCCCTCCTATAGAATTAGCACACATGCAAATGCACACACCACAAAGCAGCAACAATCTCAATCTCACTAATATTCTTCTCCCCTCCTATAGAATTAACACACATGCATATGCGCACACCACAAAGCAGCAACAATCTCAATCTCAACATAGACACGCCACAGTTAGCAGCAAAACATATCTTCTTGTGATTCTCTCTTAATCCCCGCACATGCACATCTCTCTCTCTCTCTCTCTCCCAACCCATTTCTCTGCCTCGCCAACACACTACCCACCCAGTGCTCGCGCTCCCTGGCGTCGGCCACCTCCCAGCCTGCTCTTGCACGCATCGCTCTTACTAATGTTGCTCAACCTCCTTGTTCCCACAACACACCCAGCATTGTCCGTGTTCGCGCCTGTGTCGGCAATCCCACCTTGCCGCCCCACCACGGGCAACACCGCCTATGAGAGTTGCCTCATGCCGGCCTATAGGTGAACATGTTGCTAAAACAAAAAATATCACGCACAATCCAACCAAGATCACTATCGAGATGCAGGTAACGCGATCATACTCTTGATGATCCGTTAGCGTGGCAGAGATGTTGACAGTGTCAATAAAGTCCTACTCCTATAGCTAGGTTATACCTCCTAGTCGCGAGAGTTTTCTCCTTGCAATCCGCGATGATGCCCTGGACGGCTGACATAGGCACATACGGTCTAGCGGCGACTCCTTGGACTAATCTTGCTTAGAAAATTCATTGTGATAAAAAACAGGAAGGAAGATAGCACTAGAAAAGTTGTACATGTAGTATGTATCTATGTGAGTAGACACAGAACCAAAACATCTACACACATGTGAAGGATTTAGAGCATTCATCCTGGCATTCACCTCATAGGTAGTATCATAAGGGCAACTCCAACGCGGACCCTCAAAACCTCCGCAAGCGTCTGGTCCAAGCTATCCAGATGTTGCACACCATCCAACAAGGGCATGTACTTGTGCACAACTTATCTATTACAACAGGCATTTCAAAGACTACGAAAAGGTTGAAAATTGGCAATGGTATCATCATAATGGTTGTGGAGAAAGCCTTCACTTTTTTTTGCTTGTGTCATTTCCTTATTGCGCTGTAACCATGGATAATCTTCATCATTTATCAGGATGCTTGGGTCAGCTTTGACTTTGAAGGGAGGAATTTCATGAAACTTTTCATAATCTTTGGACATGTCTGTCTTGCCCTCCACTCCCACGATGTCCTTTTTTCCTAAAAGAACTATGTGGCGCTTCGGCCCATCGTATGATGTATTCGCTTCCTTATCTTTTCTTTTTCCCGTTTTGGTAGACATGTCCTTCACATAGATAACATGTGCCACATCATTGGCTAGGACGAACGGTTCGTCAGTGTACCCAAGATTGTTCAGATCCACTATTGTCATTCCGTACTGTGGGTCTACCTGTACCCCGCCTCCTGACAGATTGACCCATTTGCATTTAAACAAAGGGACCTTAAAATCTACTCCGTAGTCAAGTTCCCATATGTCCACTATGTAACCATAATATGTGCCCTTTCACCTCTCGGTTACTGCATCAAAGCGGACACCGCTGTTTTGGTTGGTGCTCTTTTGATCTTGAGCGATCGTGTAAAATGTATTTCCATTTATCTCGTATCCTTTGTAAGTCATTACAGTCGAAGATGGTCCCCTGGACAACGAGTACAGCTCATCACAAACAGTGTTGTCACCTCTAAGACGTGTTTCCAACCAACTGCTGAAAGTCCTGATGTGTTCACATGTAACCCAGTCGTCGCACTGCTCCGGGTATTTGGAGCGCAGACTGTTCTTGTGTTCATCGACATACGGGGTCACCAAGGTAGAGTTTTGTAGAACTGTGTAGTGTGCTTGAGACCAAGAATATCCGTCCCTACATATTATTGAGTCCCCTCCAAGCGTGTCTTTTCCAGTCAGTCTCCCCTCATACCGCGATTCAGGGAGACCTATCTTCTTAAGGCCAGGAATGAAGTCAACACAAAACCCAATGACATCCTCTGTTTGATGGCCCATGGAGATGCTTCCTTCTGTCCTAGCGCGGTTACGGACATATTTCTTTAGGACTCCCATGAACCTCTCAAAGGGGTACATATTGTGTATAAATACGGGGCCCAGAATGACAATCTCGTCAACTATATGAACTAGGACGTGCGTCATGATATTGAAGAAGGATGGTGGGAACACCAGCTCGAAACTGACAAGACATTGCACCACATCACTCCTTAGCCTTGGTATGATTTCTGGATCGATCACCTTCTGAGAGATTGCATTGAGGAATGCACATAGCTTCACAATGGCTAATCGGACGTTTTCCGGTAGAAGCCCCCTCAATGCAACCGGTAGTTGCGTCATAATCACGTGGCAGTCATGAGACTTTAGGTTCTGGAACTTTTTCTCTGGCATATTTATTATTCCCTTTATATTCGACGAGAAGCCAGTCGGGACCTTCATACTAAGCAGGTTCAAAGAAGATTTCCTTCTCTTCTTTGGTAAGGGCGTAGCTGGGAGGACCTTCATACTGCTTTGGAGACATGCCCTCTTTTTCGTGCAAACGTTGCAGGTCCTCTCGTGCCTCAGTTGTATCTTTTGTCTTCCCATACACGCCCAAGAAGCCTTAGGTTCACGCAAAGGTTCTTCATCACGTGCATCACATCGATCGAAGAGCGGACCTCTAGGTCTTTCCAGTAGGGTAGGTCCAAAATATATATTTCTTCTTCCACATGGGTGCGTGTCCCTCAGCGTCACTCGGAACAACTAGTCCACCGGGACCCTTTCCAAAGATTACGTGTAAATCATTGACCATAGCAAGTACGTGATCACCGGTACGCATCAATGTCGTTGCCGGGTTGCTTAGGGCCTTGGATGAGAACTGACATCATAATGAACTTACGCTTCATGCACATCCAAGGAGGAAGGTTATACATACATAGAGTCACGGGCCAGGTGCTATGATTGTTGCTCTGCTCCCCGAGAGGATTAATGCCATCCGCGCTTAAACCAAACCATACGTTCCTTGGGTCACGTGCAAACTCAGCCTAGTACTCTCTCTCGATTTTTCTCCACTGCGACCCGTCAGCGGGTGCTGTCAACTTCCCGTCTTTCTTACGGTCCTCACTGTGCCATCGCATCAACTTGGCATGCTCTTTGTTTCTGAACAGTCGTTTCAACTGTGGTATTATAGGAGCATACCACATCACCTTCGCAGGAACCCTCTTCCCGCGGGGCTCGCCGTCAACATCACCAGGGTCATCTCGTCTGATCTTATACCACAATGCACCGCATACCGGGCATGCGTTCAAATCCTCGTACGCACCGCGGTAGAGGATGAAGTCATTAGGGCATGCATGTATCTTCTGCACCTCCAATCCTAGAGGGCATACGACCTTCTTTGCTACGTACGTACTATCAGGCAATTCGTTATCCTTTGGAAACTTCTTCAATATTTT